CTTGGGTTTTTTTTTCATGATTGGTTGACGATGTTTCAGGCGAAATGCGTGCTTTCACGTCCCGCTCGCAGGAACTCCGAGGATGTCTCGCGCGTGCCGCGTCCCGCGCGCAGGAATTTCGAGGATGTCTCGACTAATTCGCTTGTTGTTCCAGGAATTCCTTGGATGTTGGCAGGATGTCTCGAGCGAAACGCTTGTCCCCAGCACGTTCGCTGGGACGTCGCCTGGCGCGTCCCTTGGGACGGTCCGCGGCGCGTCCTCCTGGCATATTCCCTTGTCAATTAGCTCTGGGGCAGCTACTGTGTGCTGAGGCAGCTCGAGCTTAAGATCAAAATGTTGATACTTCTCGGGGGCGCATTTCCTGCTTCCGCCGCCTTCCGCCGCCCTTCCTTTTCAACGCTACTCCCGAGAACCAGAAAGTTTTGCGGGGGCCACATTTCTACCGCGCGAAGCGCGCGGCGCGACAGTACATTATATATCAGAGTAAGGCGGCCGAACGGTCATTCACTGTCCCTGGGTGCGTGGCTGAAGTGGGCTTCCGCGGTGCGGATTGTGGTTGTTGTTGTTGTTGGTCCAAACGGGACATTGCTATCAGTGGATGTAGGTCGAAACGGAACACTTTTATCAATGGATGTAGGTCCAGACGAGACACTGCTATCAACGGATTTAGGTCCAAACGGGACACTGCTATCAATGGATGTAGGTCCAAACGAGACACTGCTATCAATGGATGTAGGTCCAAACGAGACACTGCTATCAACGGATTTAGGTCCAAACGAGACACTGCTATCAATGGATGTAGGTATAGGGAGCTCCACCGAAGGCCCCAGTGGCTGCGCCCGCATGCGGTTCCACCCCCCATTCTGGCACACCCCTCACACGTTCGTGGCCCCATAGGGAGCTCCACCGAAGGCCCCAGTGGCTGCGCCCGCATGCGGTTCCACCCCCCATTCTGGCACACCCCTCACACGTTTCGTGGCCCCATAGGGAGCTCCACCGAAGGCCCCAGTGGCTGCGCCCGCATGCGGTTCCACCCCCCATTCTGGCACACCCCTCACACGTTTCGTGGCCCCATAGGGAGCTCCACCGAAGGCCCCAGTGGCTGCGCCCGCATGCGGTTCCACCCCCATTCTGGCACACCCCTCACACGTTTCGTGGCCCCATAGGGAGCTCCACCGAAGGCCCCAGTGGCTGCGCCCGCATGCGGTTCCACCCCCCATTCTGGCACACCCCTCACACGTTTCGTGGCCCCATAGGGAGCTCCACCGAAGGCCCCAGTGGCTGCGCCCGCATGCGGTTCCACCCCCCATTCTGGCACACCCCTCACACGTTTCGTGGCCCCATAGGGAGCTCCACCGAAGGCCCCAGTGGCTGCGCCCGCATGCGGTTCCCCCCCATTCTGGCACACCCCTCACACGTTTCGTGGCCCCATAGGGAGCTCCACCGAAGGCCCCAGTGGCTGCGCCCGCATGCGGTTCCACCCCCCATTCTGGCACACCCCTCACACGTTTCGTGGCCCCATAGGGAGCTCCACCGAAGGCCCCAGCGCCCGCATGCGGTGGCTGCGCACCGCATCGCATGGTTCCACCCCCCATTCTGGCACACCCCTCACACGTTTCGTGGCCCCATAGGGAGCTCCACCGAAGGCCCCAGTGGCTGCGCCCGCATGCGGTTCCACCCCCCATTCTGGCACACCCCTCACACGTTTCGTGGCCCCATAGGGAGCTCCACCGAAGGCCCCAGTGGCTGCGCCCGCATGCGGTTCCACCCCCCATTCTGGCACACCCCTCACACGTTTCGTGGCCCCATAGGGAGCTCCACCGAAGGCCCCAGTGGCTGCGCCCGCATGCGGTTCCACCCCCCATTCTGGCACACCCCTCACACGTTTCGTGGCCCCATAGGGAGCTCCACCGAAGGCCCCAGTGGCTGCGCCCGCATGCGGTTCCACCCCCCATTCTGGCACACCCCTCACACGTTTCGTGGCTCCATAGGGAGCTCCACCGAGCGCCCCAGTGGCTGCGCTCGCATGCGGTTCCACCCCCCTATTTCGGCACACCCCTCATTCGTTTCGTGGCCCGGGGGCGCCACCGAAGAATATATCCACAATTGCGGTATTCGCAACTACGTATGGTTGGGTCTTTCGTCAGGCTAATTTTTACATAACAGCGAAGACTGATAGGTTTCTGGTGGTGTCAAAAGAGAGCAGCAGATGACTCCACAGGGGGGTCTGGGCGGCATCCGGGGAGCTGTGTCCGAACTCGTGTCCGAATTCGTTTTTCGCAAACAGTCATACACTTCGTACTCTTCGACCTCCCAGAACTCCATTCCCGGGCCACATTTTGAATGCCCGGAGCCAACTGTAGGCCACTTCGTGCTCTTCGACTTCCCAGAACTCCATTCCCAGGCCACATTTTGGATGCCCGGAGCCAACTGTAGGCCACTTCGTGCTTTTCGACTTCCCAGAACTCCATTCCCGGGCCACATTTTGGATGCCCGGAGCCAACTGTAGGCCACTTCGTGCTCTTCGACTTCCCAGAACTCCATTCCCGGGCCACATTTTGAATGCCCGGAGCCAACTGTAGGCCACTTCGTGTTCTTCGTGTTCCCAGAACTCCATTCCCGGGCCACATTTTGAATGCCCGGAGCCAACTGTAGGCCACTTCGTGTTCTTCGTGTTCCCAGAACTCCATTCCCGGGCCACATTTTGAATGCCCGGAGCCAACTGTAGGCCACTTCGTGTTCTTCTGTGTTCCCAGAACACCACTTCCTTCGTGTTCCCAGAACACCATATTTTGAGAGCTGAAGCAGGCTGAGGCAGGCTGAGGCTGAGGCAGGCTGAGGCTGAGGCTGAGGCTGAGGCGCTGAGGCTGAGGCTGCAGGCTGAGGCTGCGGCTGAGGCAGGCTGAGGCTGAGGCTGAGGCAGGCTGAGGCTGAGGCAGGCTGAGGCTGAGGCTGAGGCTGAGGCAGGCTGAGGCTGAGGCAGGCTGAGGCTGAGGCCGAGGCTGAGGCAGACTGAGGCTGAGGCTGAGGCTGAGGCAGGCTGAGGCTGCAGGCTGGCTGCAGGCTGAGGCTGAGGCTGATGCAGGCTGAGGCTGAGGCAGGCTGAGGCTGAGGCCGAGGCTGAGGCCTGAAGGCTGCAGGCTGAGGCTGAGGCTGAGGCAGGCTGAGGCTGAGGCTGAGGCAGGCTGAGGCTGAGGCAGGCTGAGGCTGAGGCCGAGGCAGGCTCAGGCCGAGACAGGCTGAGGCTGAGACTGAGGCTGAGGATGAGGCCGAGGCAGGCCGAAGCTGAGACAAGGTGAGGCTGAATGGGGGGGGGAAGGGGGGGGGAGGGGAGGCTGAGGCAGGCTGAGGCCGAGCCAGGCTGAGGCCGAGGCAGGCTGAGGCTGAGGCTGAGGCAAGCCGAGGCAGGCTGAGGCTGAGGCTGAGGCTGAGGCAGGCTGAGGCTGAGGCAGGCTGAGGCTGAGGCTGACGCAGGCTGAGGCCGAGACAGGCTGAGGCTGAGGCTGAGGCAGGCTGAGGCTGAGGCCGAGGCAGGCTGAGGCTGAGGCTGAGGCAAGCCGAGGCAGGCTGAGGCTGAGGCTGAAACTGAGGCAGGCTGAGGCATCCGTAGGAATCCATCGGAATCCTTAGGAATCCCAAGGAATCCTTAGTAATCCGTAGGCATCCTTAGGAATCCGTCGGCATAGTTAAGCATCCTCAGGAATCCTTAGGAATCCTGAGGATTCCTATGGATTCCTAAGGATGCCTAAGGATGCCTTTGGAATCCCTAGGAATCCTTAGGATTCCATTAGATCCTAAGGCCGTTGCCACTGCGACTGTCATTGCGAATGCGACTGCGACTCCGAGAACAGCAGAATTCTACAACTGGATTCTCACCTGAATCTTAAGGGGAATGCTTCCAGATATGCTTATACACATCGCTGTTAGGTTGCTTTGCCGGGATAATCTCACGTGTAGTGGGTTATGCCGCGTCTTCCTGTCGAATCCTCAGATGCATAGCTATTATATTACGGTCAAAAGATGTGGAGGAACCAACTTTGATTAACCACCAAAAATGATGTTGCGAGTCTACGTTGGGTTCTAAGGAGTCGTCATTCTAAAGAGCTCTACGAGGGTCTTGGCGGTAACCTGGTTGACGGTTTACTGCTGGCTTCTAGTTCCGGCGTGCTGGTCAGCTAGGTCATTGAAAAATCTGGACGGAATATTTCTTTTTTTGGGACATACTGAAATTGATGTTCTTGGAATGACTCGTAGAGCTTCCCTAAGAGCGTTAGCGGCGAAGCTAGAAGACTAATTCCGGCGCGCTGGGGGGCTAGTTGGAAAAATGTCGACAGAAGGTTTTCGTCATTTTGTTCGGTTTTATTCGTTTTCTTGAAATTCAACAGGTCGTTAGAGCTCTAGTATGTTTTCTCCTCATATTCGATCTTATTCGCGCTCGCCATCTTAATCTCAGGTCGATGGGGTACTTACTACTGCCAAAAAGCACTCAGGCGGGATCGGCTGTTCAGGGTCATCTTGGCAGATGCTGTCGGTTTTCGGAGCTTAACTCGGGCTGTTGACGATCTACGGATCTGGTAGGCACACCCAATCGATCTAGAATCGTCAGGCGCGTGTGTTTCAAGTATCTAGATGTAATTCGGTCTGCTACCAAAGCTGGGTCCGCGAAACTATTCGTATTCTTTTGTTGGGAGATGAGGATGGGTTTCTCGACTTGATTCGAGCTGTAGATGAGCTACAGAGCTTTTCGGCACAGAAACTGGAAACCCATCATCAGGCGCGCTGGTCTAAAGTATCTAGATGCCCGAACTCGGTCTGCTACCAGAGCTGGGTCCGAAAAACTATTGGTGCTCTGCAGAGTGCATTATGTTTAGTGCGAGTGGCACTGGGGCACCTGCGGCGGGCATGCTCGCACCGTCCGCGGCCATTTTGGCTCTAGCGCTGACGTGCGGCTCTCGCTGTGTCCCTGCCGGTCCATCTGGGGCTTCTCTTCGGCTCTGGCGATGGATTTCGGCGGCTTCGGCGACGCGCCGCCGGCTCAGGCACCCTTCGGGGGTGGCGCTCATCGTGGGCCGTTCCCCAAGGCAGCGGCCGCGCCGCGGGGCGCGCCGTCGGCCACGGCGGGGCTCATGCTCCACACCACTCTCGAGACTACGGGTTTCGGAGACCTCGCCACGGCGTTGGTGGCTGGCGTCGGCGGCGACTTGAGCACCACCGTCACGGACTTCGTGGCCGTCCCAGAGCAGATCTTGGTCGACATGATCGGCCAGCTCGAGGTCGAGGGCGTTCCCGCGTCTGGCATCGTCCGCGGCCGCGCGGTGCGTGCGATTCGGGCCGTCTTCGACGTCGCGGGGCTGCCACCGCCAAGCTTGGGCGCGTCAATGCCCCCAGCTCCTGCCACGCGGCCTTCCGGGGCCACGCAGGACGAGCCGTCGCCAGGCGACAACAAGCGGCGGTTCTCGGATTTCATCGACCAGGCGGCGGAGGGCACCTTCAACCTTCTTTCGAAGGACGACGTTGCGGCGGCGCGCCTGAGGTACGTCACCGTCACGGGGGGCCCCCCTCCGGCGCACGCGCGGCCCTCGGCTGAGCAGATCTCGGGGCTCGCGGCGCTGCTCAAGGCCAAGGCTTCGCCCTACGTCGATTTCGGCGTGTTTGGGACGCACGGCCGCAGGAGGGCGAAAGCCAGGAAATTCGATGCCCAAACCTTCGTCGAAGGGCGCCTCGAGACGAGGATGCTGACGGGCCCTTCGAACTTCGAGGCATGGAGGTCGTCCTGGCTGGTCTTCCGCTCATGCGTGATCTGCCTCGGGGCCGCCCCGCCCGCGGTTTTGGGCGAGTGCGAAGAGGGCATCCGCCAGCTGTCCATCTTGTACCCGTCCTATTGGGGCGTCATCCTGAGGGCCGACGACACGGTCAGGTCCGAGAAGTGGGGCGCGCTCCTGGAGGAGTACCTCGACGCCAACCCCGACGACGACCAGGCGTGGGCGTGCGTCATCCGCGCCTCTGCCTTCGGCGCCGAGCCGGCGGTCTCCAAGTTGGGCCATTGGTGGTGGATGCACGTCGGCGCCCCCTGCACTAAGGAGGGCGGCAAAGCCGGCGCTCTTGTCGACCGCTTGGAGGGCGCGCCAGCTGGGGCGCTACCGGACCCCGCAGCCCCGCCGCCTCGCGCTCCGGGGGCCCGGCAGCGTGGCCCGCGGGGCGGCGGCGGCCCGGCTGGCGGCCAGCAGCGGGCGCAGCCTCCGCAGCAGCGGCGCCCCGGCCAATGACAAGTCCACCGAGGTGTGCAACCTCTGGAACAACAAACCCAACGGATGCAGGACGCCGTGCACGTGGGGCCGCCGACATGTCTGCCGTGTCTGCGGCGGCCCGCATCGGGCCGAGCAGCATTGAAGGGGAGCGCGGGCCCGGGGCCACGGGGGCAGCGCCCCGGGCCTGGGCGCCCCCCTTGCGTCGCCAGCGACGCCTCCCCCCGCGCGCGTCGCTCCCGCGGCATCGCCGCCCATGGCGGGGCTGGGCCCGCCGCCCAGCGGCGCGGCCGCAGGTCCCGCGGACGACGCTGACGCGGCGGTGGCTTTGCTAGCGCGCACCGTCTCCGGCCGCGTGCACCGGCGCGTTCTCCGCGGCGGGGAGCAGGCGTCCGCCGCAGACGTGAAGCGGTCGGAGGATGCCGCTTGCCAGGCGGGTTTGCGAAACCCGGGGAACCTATGGCGTGCGTGGCCTGGCCTCTGGTCCACAATGGCGCCGATCGCTGATCTCATTGCTGAGCACCGTCAGCGGGGGCCCCTGCTACAAGGGCTGGCCGGCGCGTGCGGCGCCGAGCCGGCGCGCCCGCCACCGCCGGCGGAATGCCTGCTGCCGCTGCGCCGCGCGCTCGCCCGGCACCTTGGCATCGGGGCAGCGGCGGCGGAGCGGCACCACCCCGCCTCTTCGTGGCGACCTGAGATCGTGCGCGAGGTGCAGCGGCAGGCAGGGGACCCTGACCGAGCCATTGCGGATTGGCTACTGGAGGGCGCGCCGATGGGGATCACGCGGGACACCCCCCCTGGCGGGCTTTTCCCCGCGGCGGAATCCGAGGCGTCAACGGATTTAGACGCGCTCCTCGAGCGCGCGGCCGACTTGGGGAACCACCCTTCCTTCTACGAGTTGCGCGGCCAGGATCGGCCGCCAGGCGTCGAGCAGCTCCAGTGCTTGGTCAACCAGGGGTTCGGGATCCTCTTCGAGGACCGCGCGGCGGCGGAGGCCTTCTACTCCACCGCCGTTTTCCCGGCGCCCCTCGGGAACATACTCGAACGAAGCCCGACGGCACGACCAAGCACCGCATCATCCAGGATCTGAAGGCGAACCTCGTCAACTCGGCGGTGACCCTCGCGGAGCGCCAGGCTCTGCCGACGATCATCGACCACGCGTTGGACGTCGCCCTGCTTTTCTCCTGGGCTCAGGAGGGCGGCGTGTGCTGGACTCTGGTGTTGGACTTCGCGGACGCCTTCATGTCAGTGCCGTTGCACCCGGACGAGCAGCCGTTCGATTGCGCGCACGTCGGGCACGCACTGCGGAGGGACATGCCGCCGGCCTACCCGCAGGAGGCGCGCGAGGGGCGATTCGTGGTCTGGCGGGTCCTGGGGTTCGGCGGCAAGCCCAACCCCGTCGTGTTCGGGCGCGTGGCGTCCTTCGCCGCACGCACCGCGCAGGCCCTGCTCCGGCCATTCGCGCGGTCGGGTTGTGGCCACGCTGCCGCCGCCGCTGGTCGCCTGCAGCTCTACGTCGACGACCCGGTTCTCACCGTGGCGGGCACGCCGGCAGCAGCGCAATTGGCGATCGACCTTGCCCTGACTTGGTGGCTCCTCCTCGGGGTGCCGCTCGCTTGGAAGAAGGGCGCGCTGTACGCGCGCGAGCACCTGTGGATCGGAGCCATGTTCATTCCGTATTCGCCCGGCGAGGTTCACGTCATGCTGCCCACAGAGTTCTTGGCAGATCTCTTCAGGCTCCTCGAGCCCTTCGCGGCGGGGTCAGGCCATGCGTCCGTGGCGGCTGCCCGCCGCGTCGTCGGGAAGTGCGCGCGGGTGGCCTACGTGGTCCCCGACGCGGCGCCCTTCGCGGCCGCTCTCTGGGGCGCCCTTGCTGGCGCTGCGGCAGCCGACCGGGAGGCACCTCCGGGTCGCGTCGCGTGCAGGAGGTTCGGGGCTGCCGCAAGGTGGATGCGGGCGCTCGTCAACCCTTCCGGTCTCGACCTGCTCCCCCTTCGGCGAGTCGTCAGGGCCCAGGATGAGCAGCGGGGGCGCGCTTCCGACGCCGTGGTGAAGTTCGACGCTTCCCCGTGGGGCTGCGGCGCAGCGCTCTACAGGCGCGGCGTCCCTGTGGAGTTCTTCGCCCTCACGTGGTCGGACGACGTCTGCGGTCTTTTCAACGTCGGCACGGGCGACCCCAGGCACCAGTCTTTCTGGGAGTACCTCACAGTGTTCCTGGTGTTGTGCGTGTGGGGAGATTCGTTCCGCACCGAGGTCCTCACCATTGCGGGCGACAACGTCGCGGCTCTGGAGGGGGCCCTCAACCTCCGTGGCAAGGGCCTCCTCAACCACATCACCCGTGAGATCGCATGGCGGCGCGCGCGGCGCCGGTGGGAGTATGTGGTCTCGCACTTGCCGGCGGAGCACAGCGAGACCGCCGACGCGCTGTCCCGGTTGGCCGCGCCGGACCCCGCTGAGCTCCCGGCGGAGCTCACCGAGGCGGAACAGGTCGGCGCGCCCAGCGTCCCCGAGCTCTTCGTGACGATGAGGGCGCCCCCGGGCCTGCGAGCGCCGTGATTTTGATATAAACCGAGGGGTGCGTTTGAAAGGAGCGGCTGAAAAGACCATCCGAGCGCCCCCGATCGCCCCCCGACGGCCTTCGCGACGGCCCCCGGCGCGGCCCGGCGGGGCGCCTCCGGGTCACCTGGAGGCGGCTCTGGACCGTCTCCGGGTCACTCGGAGGCGGCTCGGGGGCGCCTCCGGGTCACCTGGAGGCGGCTCTGGACCGTCTCCGGGTCACTCGGAGGCGGCTCCGGGGCGCCTCCGGGTCACCTGGAGGCGGCTCTGGACCGTCTCCGGGTCACTCGGAGGCGGCTCCGGGGCGCCTCCGGGTCACCTGGAGGCGGCTCTGGACCGTCTCCGGGTCACTCGGAGGCGGCTCCGGGGCGCCTCCGGGTCACCTGGAGGCGGCTCTGGACCGTCTCCGGGTCACTCGGAGGCGGCTCCGGGGCGCCTCCGGGTCACCTGGAGGCGGCTCTGGACCGTCTCCGGGTCGCTCGGAGGCGGCTCGGGGGCGCCTCCGGGTCACCCGGAGGCAGCCCTGGACCGCCTCCAAGTCGCCCGGAGGCGGCTCTGGGGCGGCCCCGGCCGAGGCCCAGAATAAAGGTCAAGACGGCGCCGTCTTGACTTTTATTCCGGGGCTCCGCCAGCCCCCCTTGGCGGCGCCCGGGGAGCCCATCTTGCCGCTCGCCGCTCGCGGACGGGGGGGTACCCTGGGTGGGGCTGTCGTCCCCGAATGCCGCAGCATCTCCCACCTGTGGAGCCCCGCCGCCCACCCTGTCGCGGGCCCGCGGCATGCTGCCGACATGGGGCTGGCACGCGCCCGCCTTAGTGTTCGGGGTGCGTCGGGGTCCCAGGTCTGGCTCTCTCCTTCTTGGCCCGGCACGTCGGCCTCCTTCTTGGCCGTTCCGCCGGGCCGGGCCCGCGGCTGGCTTGCTCCGGCATCCAGCCGTGGCCCGGCACGTCGGCCTCGCGCCGTTCCGCCGGGTCCGGCCCCCCTCTTGGCCCGGCACGTCGGCCTCCTTGGCCGTTCCGCTGGGCTGGGCCCGCGGCTGGCTTGCTCCGGCATCCAGCCGTGGCCCGGCACGTCGGCCTCGAGCCGTTCCGCCGGGTCCGGCCCCCCTCTTGGCCCGGCGCGTCGGCCTCCGTGGCCGTTCCGCTGGGCCGGGCCCGCGGCTGGCTTGCGCCGGCATCCAGCCGTGGCCCGGCACGTCGGCCTCGCGCCGTTCCGCCGGGTCCGGCCCCCTCTCGGCCTGGCACGTCGGCTTCCTTGGCCGTTCCGCCGGGCTGGGGCCCGCGGCTGGCTTGCTCCGGCATCCAGCCGTGGCCCGGCACGTCGGCCTCGTGCCGTTCCGCCTGGTCCGGCCCCCCTCCTGGCCCGGCACGTCGGCTTGATTGGCCGTTCCGCTGGGCCGGGCCCGCGGCTGGGTTGCTCCGGCATCCAGCCGTGGCCCGGCACGTCGGCCTCGCGCCGTTCCGCCGGGTCCGGCCCCCCTCTTGGCCCGGCACGTCGGCCTTCTTCTTGGCCGTTCCGCCGGGCCGGGCCCGCGGCTGGCTTGCTCAGGCATCCAGCCGTGGCCCGGCACGTCGGCCTCGAGCCGTTCCGCCGGGTCCGGCCCCCCTCTTGGCCCGGTCTGGCCGTTCCGCTGGGCCGGGCCCGCGGCTGGCTTGCTCCGGCGTCCAGCCGTGGTCCGGCACGTCGGCCTCGCGCCGTGCGGCCGGGTCCGGCCCCCTTGCGGATCAACCGAGGCGCGCGGCGCGGCACCGGCAGCAGCTGCGCCGCGGCGCCAGTCGCGCAGCGCCCGGCGGGGGGCCGCCCCGAGCGGCGGCAGCGGCTTGCAGCAGCGTGAAGGGCAAGTTGCCAGCGGCGGGCTCCCCCCCTTGCGCTGGGACGCCCCTGGCAGGTCAGCGTACCAGAGGGGTCGGCCGCCCGACCTCCAGTCGCCTGCTGCGCGCGACCGCGCGCTCCGCCGCCTCGCAGCCGACGTCTACGCGGCATCGTCGGGCGGGGTGGTGGAGGCGCGCCGCCGCACGGTCGCGGCGCTCCTGCGCGTTTGGGGCGACGACCCGCTGCCGCCGACGCCAGCCAAGGTGACGCGTCTGTGCGCCAGCCTCAAGGAGGGGGGCTACCGCACCGCAGAGGCCTGCGTGTCGGCGCGCAGGGTCCTCGCGGAGCGCGCCGGCTTCACCTTGCAGGCCGATTTCGAGCGGGCTGCGAAGGACGGCTTGCGGTCCTGCTCGCGCGGCGTGGGCCCCGCCGTCAAGGCGCGCTCCCTTCCGTTCGAGCGCTTGGGCGACCTCCCAGGAGGCCACGGCGCCTGGAACGCGGGGGGGCCCGTCGGCCCCAGGAACGCCATAGCGGCTGGGTCGTGGTGGATGACCCGAGAGATCGAGCTTTCCACGGCCAGAGCGTGCCTCATCGAGCTCGTGCTCGGCGACCGCCCTGTGGGCACATGGCATTTGCCGGCGTCGAAGACGGACGTGGCAGCGCTGGGCGTGGCGCGGGCGCACGGCTGCTCGTGCACCCCCGGCCGGCCTCCACGCCCGTCGCGCCCAGCGCATGCCATTTGGGACCAGATCTTGCTGCTACAGCGGATGTTTCCCGCGCGCTGGCGGGAGGGCGTCGCGGACCGCGACCTCCCTCTCTTTCCCACGGAGGCTGGGGGGGTGCTCTCCAAGGAGGCGATGACAGCGACCATCCACCACGCGGCCAGCTCCCTCGGCGTCCCAGCGGCGACGCCAGACGGCTCCGAGCGCGTCGGGGGCCACAGCCTTCGCCCCACTGGGGCGCAAGGCCTGGCACGCCTCGGAGTCGACCTGTGGGCAATTCAACTCCTGGGGCGCTGGGGCTCATCCGCCGTCCAGGGGTACGTGCGGGAGGCATCGCTGGACACGGCCGCTGAGTGGGCCAGGCGCGCCGGCAGCAGCCTCGACCTCGAGTCTGTGCTGGGCCAGGTCGCGGACCTGCGATCCGAGCTCGGGGAGCTCCGCCGCGGCCGGCCGACCCTGGAGGATCTCGTCGACATGGTGCTCGGCGAGGTGCGTTCCGAGCTGGGGCGCCAGTCGCTACGCTGCGAACTACAGGATGCGGTGATTCGCCGAGAGGCGGATGAGCAGCTGACGTCCACCTGCGCCAGCAGGAGCAGCCCGGTCGGGAAGGTGCTCAACCGCGAGTCCGGCGTCCTGCACGCTGTCCTCGTCGGGCCGCCCTCCATGCCCGCGGCTGCCTGGGTGACGCGGTGTGGCTGGAGGTTCGGGCTGGCTGCGCACGCCATGGCCCCGGGTGAGCACCGAGTCGCATGCGCCCGTTGCTTCAGGGGCTGCGTGGAAGTGCCGGACGGCGGGGGCGATCGGGGGCCGGAGCCTCCACCGAGAGGGATGGAGCGCCCCGCGCCCGGCACGCCCGTCGATTTGGCATTCGGAAAATGAGCGGCTCTGATGCTCTTCTCGGGTGGGGGTGCCAGTGCCGAGTGCATTATGTTTAGTGCGAGTGGCACTGGGGCACCTGCGGCGGGCATACTCGCACCGTCCGCGGCCATTTTGGCTCTAGCGCTGACGTGCGGCTCTCGCTGTCCGCCCGCCCGCCCTGCTTGGTTTCACTGCTGCGTGCCACGGGGGCCGGAGCCTCCACCGAGAGGGATGGAGCGCCCCGCGCCCGGCACGCCCGTCGATTTGGCATTCGGAAAACGAGCGGCTCTGATGCTCTTCTCGGGTGGGGGTGCCAGTGCCGATGTTCTTAGACATTGTGATGGTTTTCTTTATTGAACTGGAGCTGGAGAGGAGCTACCAGGCCGTTCGTCACAGCAGTCGAAAGAGAATAATTATAAGAGCTGGTTTGAAGTATCTAGACGCCCGAAATCGGTCTGCTACTAGAGCTGGGTCTGAACAACTATGTGTATTCTGGTTAATTTGAAGAGAGATGATGGTAACTTCCTTGAGGTAACTCGAGCTGCAGATGAGCTGCAGAGCTGTTTGGCACAGCAATCGGAAGGGAATCGTTTGACGCGCTAGTCTCCAGTAGCCAGATGCCCGAACTCGTCGCTCTTCCATAGTTGGAACCAGAAAACTAGTTGTACTCTATTACTTTTGCAGAGATGACGATGCCTTTCTTGATCCTTCTCCTCCTTCTGCTTCTCCTGCTCCTCCTCCTCGTTCTCCTCCTTCTCTTCCTCACCCTCCGTCATCTCCTTTCTCTTCTGTGCTTCCTCTCCTCTAGTCCCCCTCCATGAAACCGCGCCCTCTCGCGCGCGGAATGCGAGATTGCCCCGCCCGCATTGCGCAGGGAAGCTCTACGAGTTCCCGGCGGTAACCAAGGTTGACGGTTTACCGCCAGCTCCCATTCGAACGGTCGTTAGAGTTCTACTATTCTCCCTTATGTTTTTTCCCAACCATCCTGTAGTGTTGGGTCCTCATTTTGGAGAACGGCGCCCCGCGTTCCTCACCTCCTCCTCCTCCCCCCCCTCCCTCCTCCCATCATCATCATCATCATCATCATCGCCACCGATTTCGGCACACCCCTCACACGTTTCGTGGCCCCATAGGGAGCTCCACCGAAGGCCCCCGTGGCAGGGTCCGCATGCCTCCCCACCACCCATTTCGGCACACCCCTCACACGTTTCGTGGCCCCATAGGGAGCTCCACCGAAGGCCCCAGTGGCAGGGTCCGCATGCCTCCCCACCACCCATTTCGGCACACCCCTCACACGTTTCGTGGCCCCATAGGGAGCTCCACCGAAGGCCCCAGTGGCAGGGTTCGCATGCCTCCCCACCACCCATTTCGGCACACCCCTCACACGTTTCGTGGCCCCCTCACACGTTTCGTGGCCTAGAACCCCCCAGTGGCAGGGTTCGCATGCCTCCCCACCACCCATTTCGGCACACCCCTCACACGTTTCGTGGCCCCATAGGGAGCTCCACCGAAGGCCCCCAGGGGGCATGGGCATTGCCACGCCTCCCACCCATTTCGGCACACCCCTCACACGTTTCGTGGCCCATAGGGAGC